CCCCCCCCCCCCCCGATGGCTTTTTCCGGAGTGGTTTCCGAACGGCGCAGCGTAGCGCGCAGCGCGCAGCGCCAAATTTCGCACATTGTAGAAAATTGAAGAGGATCGTTTGCCATAACAATTTACATGTACCTTGCAATATCACTGACCTATGGCAGGTCACAGTCAGGCCATGGTTTCAGCGAAGTCAGCTTCTAGGGAATCGCTCAATCTGATGCAACAACGGAGTGTTAGACGAAACCACACATCTCTGAGATGCTTTCATAGGCAACACAAATATTAAACGACCAAATTACGTTGACCTAGGACCAGGTATGAAGGTAAGGCCAAGGACAAAACCAACCTGTTTTATTACTCTAGGGCTTGCTGCATGGGATAGTTTCTGGTGCTCATTTCTAATTTATTGATAGCAGGAACCATATTGTGCATCTCACATGGACTTCTTAGAGGTCAGAAAAGGCCATTGACCTAAAATGGCCTGAGTGAACATTTTGTTCTTATAGACATACTGCCTGGCGTAATCTTTGTCGTTTATTCAACTGCAAGACCCAGAGCAGTCTTGCATGATTTTGGTCACCATGACCTTTAACAGGTCAAGAAAGGTCACTGACCTTAAAGGAGCATGCCACCTTTTGCGTAGAAACAGTTATTTAGGTTCTGGGGGCAAGTTGGAGATCAATCTGAAATTTGACCTTGTTTGACCTTATTTAACCTGAAGGTCATGACCTAGGAAGCTCAAAATTTGACCCAAGTGAGATCACGTACAGATCAAAACACCCTGTAAATTTGGTGTCTCTAGCTTTCTTAGTTCCCGAGACCTCAGGGGGGGGGTCAAATCAACCACCCCCCGAGCAACCACCCTTGCCGGCCACCCGGGCGCGTGTTAAGGTGTAGGAAGTAAGATGCGCATCGTCAGGTAGCTGACCTATGTCAGGTCAGAGTTAGGTCCTGACTATCAGTAAAAACAATGCCTGTGGAATCGTCCAAGATAATGCGACGACGTAATGTTGAAGGGAGTATCCCATCTTTTTGTTATTTTTCACTCATTGTTATATCAGACGCATGCGATTTGATCAGTGATACCATTTTCTCGAAACTCTTCTGAATAGCTCAGAATTTCTATTTGGAGAAGTCGACCCTGCGGGAGAAATCACATTCCATTCCATGCTCACCATGGTGAAAGTAACGCATTCCATCTGTAGTGCTAATGTTTGTGTTCTACAATATTTTCAACACATTAGTGTTCCAAAATGTGTGTGTACTAAATGCTACGAAAGCTGGAAACACTCTGTTTAGACAAAAAAGACATGCGAGCGTGGAGGCGTTATCCCATGAACTCAACGAAACCTTATACTATGACCTCGATTACTACCCTTTGACGCTCACCAGCGCGGCTCTAACACAGGCACACCTTGACTCCGGGAATGGGAGCATCACATGATCCATGTGGCGCGCTGGTTCAAGATGCAACCAATTAGCTTCTCGGTAATAGGCCCTTGCCCGCTGGGCCAGTTACAAACGTTCTTTTAAACGCGCCGGCAATCATTGGCATGTTCATTGTCATGACGACGATGGTCGTGACTGCAGGGAATAAGCGTGGTGCTGCAACAAAACGTTGTTAGCGCCATTAAGAATACACAAAATTAAAACTGCCGTTCTATGTATTGACGACGCTGCACTACCCGGTGCTATTATGAAACACAACTAAACCTAAGGTTTTACTAGAATATACTATTAAAATATACCACAAAGGTGAGCCACTCCCTTTAAACGAAGCCATAAGTCTCTGAGCTATTTCCTTAGACAACTAGCCAATTGAGGTTAGCATTACGAAATTTTTATTAAGCTTGGGGCAGTACAAAGGCCGGGCCGAGGTAAAAACCAAACTACTTTCTCACTGTAGAAAGTGGTGAAAGAGGTAGTTTTTGATGCTCCTATCTATTTTTTTTTATCACAGTGACGTCAACAGAAATCGCATGCAGACCTCTTGCAGGTCAAAGGAGGTCAAGGACCCAAATGACCCAAAACAACCGCTTTTTTCCATCGATGCGGCGCAGACGATCCGTGCCGGTGTTATCTGAAATGAACACCACTGCAATTTTGCATAGAACAGGTATCTAGAGGGAAGGCGGTTGCATTAGGTCTGGAGGTACTTTGGATGCGGATCTGGAGTTTGATTTCATTTGACCCAAAGGTCAACAGGTGTTTGACCTGGTCTATCTCAAAATTTGACACAGGCGAGTCCACACACAGGCTTTTCTATCTTGTGGATTTAGTGTTTCTAGTTCTCGCGCGTAAATGTCCATTGCATGGATGTATCTCATATTTTATAAGGCATTTTAATTTCATGAGGGCTAGCTCTTCCTTAGCATTACAGAGTAAGAACAGACCAGCCTTCAAAATAAGTCACTTTAGTGCTGCGATTGCGCATTATTGATTGGCATCATCCACTGGTGCGTACGGTGGCGCACTTCTCCCATGCTGTCTGTAAGTTTCATTTAAACCCAACTCAGTGCATTCCCTGGATATTCCAGAATAGTCCAATTAAACATTTAAAACATAAAGACCATAATAGTCTAGCTAAAACCCAAACCTTCCTATATTCCATCCAAAAAGTGTGGAGGCAGGGTAGGGGGAAATATGTATGGAAGCAATGCCAACGCTACTATCAATAGTGGCACACACCCATCCAAATTCAATCAATCATGCTGATTTGTAGGTCACAAGTGACATCTGTGGAGAAAGAGAAAAGTTAGTGATGTGGCAATTAACAGGAATTGCCTTTCTACGAAGCCGCTAGTTGCAACGTGCAAAATGCCCGCAAAAAACTGTGTTGTCACGAATACACACCAATCAGTCGTCGCCCAGGCCCAATTTTAGAGGAGCTTACGTCAAGTGAAGTTATGATGCGTGTCAAGAGAGCCCATGGTCAGCCCACGCTTAGCCGACGGTCGCCCATACAAGCGACCCCCTCAAAACGCTAAAAATGTGATTGTTAACGGTCTGTAGGGGCCGAACACATCGACACGCTCCGATGCGCGGATAATACAGCATTTTGTCTCCTACAGCTAGTTTCAAAAAAATCACTTTCAATCTGATAGTCAAGGAAGAAGGTCGTGTATACCAAATGAAGGAAGTCATACATTCAAAACGATTGTCTGTCCAATCTAGTCAAAGGTGATGAGGCGCTTAAAAATCACAGAAACACAGCAAAATCGAAGCAGACAATTTTTCAGCCCACCCAAACCACTGCCTGCGCTAAGCCCACAGTTGGTCAATACAGGCTAATAATTTTCGTATACATTTTCGCTGGCCATGTGCCAGATCTGTTTCCTTGCAAATTAGGCAGGGGAAAGCAGGTTCCCATCCCAAAACTGACGCGAGATACGTCAACAAAAATAAAACCTTATTGAATATGGTCGTACGGCACTTTAAACAACTCGGAGTGCCAAACTGGTTCCAAAGCTGAGCTTCGTTTCCTATTTGCACTTCTCTCTCTGGATTTACACTAATGCGAAATCACAAAATGTCTTGTTTCCCATTGAGATCTTTTACAGTAGTTCACCTGATGCTTTATTTCTCGCAGAGATTAATATGCGAACCAGTGGGACTGATTCTATCGGCCCCTACGAATTCCCTGATCTTCAGGCCAACTGTGGCCGGACATCTGAAACATCAGCTCCTATGAAAATTAGGCCGGGCAAAACCGGTCCTCACGTGTGAACTGAGGGCTAAACATATCTCAGCCAAAATAAAATCGTGGCCAATATGATCGCATATCTCAACAACTCGGCGCGAGCTGATTCAAAATCTGGGCTTCCTCTATTTGCGGTTTTGGTTGCTGGGCGACAGTGACGTAATATTAGTTTTCCACCTAATGCTCTATTTCCCGTGGAGATTAACGTGCGGCTCAGTGGGACTGACTTTGTAGACACTTAAGACTTCTTGATTTTTATATCAATTGTACCTGAACATCAACACCTCAATTCCCATCAGGATCAGGCCGGGGAAAACAAGTTCTCACCCATGAGCCGAAGGTGAGATATCTCACCAAATATGAAATCTTCCCAATATGGTCGTGTGGCATCTCAAACAAATTTGCATGACAAACCGATCCCAAGCCCGAGCTCCGTTTTCTGTTTGCATTTATCATGGCTCGAGTCACAGCAATGTGAAATTCGTCTTTCACCTGGTTTCATTTCCCGTTGAAGCACTGGTTTCATCGGTCCCTACGATTTTTCTTATGCTCCGATTAACTGTAGCCAGACGTCTGCCACATCAGTTCCCATGGAAATTGGGCCAGGGAAAGCAGGTTCTCGCCCAAAAAATGACGGCGAGATATATCACCGAAAAAAACATCTTATTGGATATTGTCGTATAGCACTTCAACTTAGAACTTCAAGCTGATTCCAAATCTGGGCTTTGTTTTCCATTTGCGCTTCTCTTTCCGGAGTCGCATCAGGGTGAAATGCTTTTCACCTAATGCTCTATTTCCCATTGAGATTAAAATGCAAGTCAATGGGACTGATTCCGTCGGCCCCTACGATTTCCCTGATTTTCAGATAAATTTAGCTGGCCATCTAACACATCACTTCCCATGAAAAATAAGCCGGGGAAAGCAGGTTCTCGCCCATGAACTGAATGTGAGATATCTCACCAAAAATGAAAACTTTCTGAATATGGTCGTATGGCACTGAGACGATGGGTAATACCTTGGAGCAACACGTCGCCATGAAGCCTGCGGTGAAGGGCCATGACCTGGGGCGGCTCGTCACCGCGCAGACTGAAATAAAGGCGCACGGCCCGCGGCGGTGCGTCGCCTTGGAAACACGCAGACCACGTGGGCGTGGGGAATGGCGGCGCCGGCCAGTCGCCTGCGGGTTATAGGGTGCGTATGAATCACGAGGGGGCACCTACGTGTTGCTCGGGCGCGTAATGTGTCTCTCTGGCGTTGTGGCGTGCTGCGTTCACCGTTGTGTCGAAGGTGGTGAAGGCCGGGCTAAAATCATTATAATCATTCAATAAAGGCATTCAAACAACTCGGCATGACAAGCTGATCCCAAATCCGGAAAATGTTCGCCATAATGACAGAGATCGTGTGTGCATTTGATCCGATAATGGCGCGATCACACGCTAGGTGGGCTGTCACGAGACACAGACAGAGACAGAGACAGAAACAAAGGGCAAGGCGGCCAGCCGTCGGCCACCAGCCACCATGTGGATATGACAGCGTCTGACAGCACCGCGCCGCCTCAGCGCAGTGTGGTCACATGAATGCTAAGTAGCCTGTCAAAGACGTAAAAAGCTTGGTTATAATGCGAGTAGCAGGTCGAGCCGAAGCCAATCGGTGTGTAGCAGGACAGTCTCGAATCAGTCTGGACACACAGTCTGGCAGTCTCGAATCTCAGGCAAATTCGCAACACGAATCCCTCCGCATGCCGCTTGTGGTTGCGTCATAACAGCCAAGGCAAAGGCTCTGGACACACAGTCTGGCAGTCTGACAGTCTCGAATCTCAGGCGAATTCGCAACACGAATCTTCCCGCATGCCGCTTGTGGTTGCGTCATAACAGCCAAGGCAAAGGCCCTGGACACACAGTCTGGCAGTCTGACAGTCTCGAATCTCAGGCGAATTCGCAACACGAATCTTCCCGCATGCCGCTTGTGGTTGCGTCATAACAGCCAAGGCAAAGGCTCTGGACACACAGTCTGGCAGTCTGGCAGTCTCGAATCTCAGGCGAATTCGCAACACGAATCTCCCCGAATGCCGCTTGTGGTTGCGTCATAACAGCTAAGGCAAAGGCTCTGGACACACAGTCTGGCAGTCTCGAATCTCAGGCGAATTCGCAACACGAATCTCCCCGCGTGCCGCTTGTGATTGCGTCAAAACAGCCAAGGCCAAGGTATGGCTGGCACGTGACAACATGTGCCGCTGCGCGGCTCAACGCTCGCGGAATCTGGCCACCGATTTACAGGCCACTACGCGCACGACGAAACGCTTGAAGCTGCGATACAAAGCTCAGTGGGTGCAAACACTGCAACACTGCGCAGATGAATATGACACGAGGTCGGTGCAGTGGTCCACAGATGTGGGGTTCGCGCCGGAGCAGGCACGTGCGGCCAGGACTGGCGTGGGCCCGGGGCAGGGGCGATTGTCTGCCGGCGAGCAGAGGCGAGGCTCGTCCAAGCTCATTCGGGCTCGTGTCTCTCCCGCTTCGGAGGATGCATCCTGCAACAAGCAATCCAGGAATGACGGCATAACGGCAATCCGAGGCATGTCCACATCGAACCGCGAGCAAGTCGCGTCGTTGGAACGTTGCCAGACATGACTGGCTGCTTGGCTCATATTGTCATATGTGGCCGTCTTGTGTGTTGTCAGACAAGAAGCTCAGAAGAGCCACGCTGCTTGGAGTTGCCTCACGCCGCCTACCAATACAAGTACCAACCATGAGCCAAATTGGAAAGCTCGAACCCTCTTGACCGAGCTTCACAACCTGCTCCATAAAGGGGTGCCCCGCCCACCGGCCGGCGCCGTGAAGGGATCCTTCGGTCAGGTGGTCTCGTGGCACGCCGGTCGCCGCCTCACCTGTGCACCGTCACTCGGGGGTCCGCCCGATCCCAGGGGATGTTCAGCGGAGAGATGAACACGAACTGACTGCTGTTCGCCAGCGCTTCCTTCAGCAGCATGTCATGGCTGATCTTGCGGTTCATTTCGTCCTGAAACGGACGGCCACGCTCTGGTTGCCCGTGCCGCACATTCAACACGCAACGCAAGCCGCCCAAACTGTCTGTCGCAGAGCAGCTCCGTCTGTGCTCTATGGACTCGCGCGTACATTAGGAAGTCTGGGACCCGAAGCACGCCCGCTGCCTCCAGGCGCCTGCCCACCTCACCCAACGGCCGTCACCGCCCATCGATCATACGTCCGATCCCGCCCTGCTCACCACGAGCAAGTCAAACCCCGCCCTGCTTACCATGAACACACCCGACCCCGCCCTGCTCACCATGAACACACCTGACCCCGCCCTGCTCACCATGAACACACCCCACCCCGCCTTGCCCACCATGAACACACCCGAACCTGCCCTGCTCACCATGAACACACTCGACCCTGCCCTGCTCACCATGAACATACCCCACCCCGCCCTGCTCACCATGAACACATTCGACCCTGCCCTGCTCACCATGAACACGTCCGATCACGCCCTGCTCACCATGAACACGTCAAACTCGTCCAAGATACGGAATGGCGACGGTATGGTGCTCCACATGGCCAGCAGACAGGCCAGCGTGGAGAAGGAGCGCTCTCCGCCGCTGAGCTGGCTTGGATCCCGTCCCTTGCCGTCCCCCTTAGCCGCAGGCTCCACCGTAATCGTCAGCTGGCGCGAGTCGTGGTCAAACTTCATCTCGCCCTGACGGGACAGGTCGGGAGGTCAGCACGGAGTCGGGTGTGAAGGGATACCCTGGTGCGACGCGCCGAGTGTGAGGGGATACCCTGAAGGGACCGGGCGGGTGTGAAGGTGTAGCGGTAACAGATCAATACCTCAGCGCGTGGGCCACCAGTAGGTGGCGCTAACGAGCGTTGAGTGAGCGTGTGAGTATGAGCGTGTGGGTGTGACATCATATGTGGTGTGAGAACCGCGAGTGTTTTCATAGTTTAATTACAAAAGGAACAAAAAGCACCGCTGCAATCATTATCACCTGAATTCAACAACCCACCCCACCATGCATGTCATGCATTGCCACATTACGACCACACAACTCCTCTCCTATGGCGTTCAGCACAGAGCGTCTTTTCAGAGCATTTGGGCTTTGCGGGATCACTACTTACTTGCGTGATGTCCCAAAACACCGAACACGTAACTTGGACTTGGAATAATTGATGTCCACTTGTCTATATCTCGACTTGGGAATAACTGATGTCCATTTGTCTATATCTCCTTGGCGCCGCAGCGCCACTCCCACATGCCATTACTAGACATGCCTGATGCTGATGATTGGCTAGAATACGTTCGTGAGGGACGGCGGGGCCATTAGCCAGCAAGTAACCGGACGACAGCGCCCGTCTGCCGATCGCGCACGCGGCGCCCGTCTGCCGATCGCGCAAACGGCGCCCGTCTGCCGCTAGTGAACGCGGCGCCCGTCTGCCGATCGCGCAAACGGCGCCCGTCCGCCGCTCGTGCACGCGGCGCCCGTCTGCCGCTCGTGCACGCGGCGCCCGTCTGCCGCTCGTGCACGCGGCGCCCGTCTGCCGCTCGCGCAAACGGCGCCCGTCTGCCGCTCGCGCACGCGGCGCCCGTCTGCCGCTTGCGCACGCGGCGCCCGTCTGCCGCTCGTGCACGCGGCGCCCACTCGCTGCTCACCTCGTAGTTGCTGGCGCCCACGCTCGAACCGAAGAAGATGGCGATACGAACCCCCAGACTCTTCTCAAGGGCCCTCCTCATCTTTTCCCGCATATCAAGCATCTCGCGGAATTTCTCCACATCTTTCCGCAGCAACTGCACGCGCATCTTCGTCTTCTTGCAGCACTCATCCGCAATCGAGTAGGCTTCGAGCAGGTCTTCGACCCTAGAACTCCGCTGCGGCTCTCCATCCTTGTCACGTAGGGACCTCTGCAATCCATCCAGCTCGCTTTGGATGGCTGCGACACTCCTGCGGGGTACGGCGGCGCGCGTGAGCGGTGGGACCGGGACCAGGACACCTTGCAGCGGTCGGCTGATGACCGCCACCAGCAGGGACAGGATCTTCATTTCGGCTCGACCGCAGACAACACACGGCCACACGGCCACCGAAGCCTGGTGTCAGCTCGACCGCAGACAACACACGGTCACACGGCCACCGAAGCCCGGCGTCCGGCTCCACCGCAGGCAACACACGGCCACACGGCCATCGAAGCCTGGTGTCGGCTCCACCGCAGACAACACACGGCCACCGAAGCCCGGCGTCGGCTCCACCGCAGACAACACCGCCACACGGCCACCGAAACCGGACGTCGTTTCGACGACAGACAACACAGGGCCACACGGCCACCGAAGCCCGGCGTCGGCTCCACCGCAGACAACACAGGGCCACACGGCCACCGAAGCCCAGCGTCGGCTCCACCGCAGATAACACACGGCCACACGACCACCGAAGCCTGGTGTTGGCTCGACCGCAGACAACACACGGCCAGACGGCCATCGAAGCCTGGTGTCGGCTCCACCGCAAACAACACACAGCCACACGCCCACCGAAGCCTGGTGTCCGTCTCGACCGCAGACAACACACGGCCACACGACCACCGAAGCCTGGCGTCATTTCGACGGCAGACAACACAGGGCTACACGACCGCAGAAACCCGGCGTCGTCTCCAACGCAGACAACACACGGCCACACGGCCACAGTGTCACGCTAGGCTGGCTGACAAACCAACGCCGCTATGCCTTCAACGTGCTATGTGTGGAGTGTGGACGCACAGCACCAGTTTACCGAACGACACAAAACAGCGTGCAGCTCCAGCGGCCGGCGGGGAAAAGGGGGGGGGGGGGGGCAGGAGACATCGGGCGCCACTGACGGCCGTCCAAGCCGAACACGGTCGCGCTCACTTTGTGGGTTCCACCCTGTGGGGACCGGCGAGCGCTTCCGCCGCGACCAGCTGCTGCTGGCAGAAGGCAGCAGCTTTTGTCAGCCTGGCCAGCTCGGCCCGCCCGCCTTCCAGCTCAAGGCCGGCGCCATCTAGCTTTCTCTTCAGCTGCTGAACGTCCTCCTTCGCCGCCCCCAGCTCCTCCTGAGGCAGACGGTCGGCGTCAGCAGTAGCCAAGCTGCTGGGTCTGCCCAGCCATCATCAGGTCAGGTCAGGTTAGGTCAGGTCACGGCCACCAACTCTGGCATCGAGACAAAGAAGGCGTCTAGCCGAGGCGCGAACGTCACAACATAACATCTAACGGCTCGGTGACAATGAGCGGTAGAAACGGGTTCAAATCAGCATCCGTGACCCCCAATTTAGCGCCCAACGGTGACGCCCTGGTGAAAAGACGTGCGTCAGGTACGCAGATCGTTCAGATCAGGCAACGGCACGGTTAGAATATTTGGTCACTTCGATGGGTTAGACATTCAAACTTGTTCTAAAAAATATGGCTAGATAAAAGGGATATTTGTTTCCCACCAAAGCAAAAGTGGCCGTTCACCACATACCCGTCAGATCATGATTGCATGGGGTTTTCAGCAACAGTCATTTGGCATTTAGTTTTTACAAGCGCTTGCTCGCTTGCTCCGCCGCGCACAATGAGAACACAAAGAACATTTAGTTATCTCTTTTTTGCAGCTAAAATCACGGTTCTAGCTGATTTAAAGGTTGAGATATGGCACAGAACGTGAGACCCGGCAGCGGGCTGCGCGCTTTCTGGCGCCCTCTGGCGGCTGCCGGCGGGGAGAGAGCGCATTCTGCCTGCCGTCTCTGCACCACAGGCACACCTATTCCATGGGACCGGGGACTGATCGTGGGAAGCGGCCGGTGATTTTTGCCACTTCCATCAACTGCCAAATACTCGTTGTATTAAACGGCATTGTACTGCATCGAAAAGTAAAAAAAACAAAAAAAAACAGTCGGTACCAGCAAAATCAGTTTTCCTGGCCCGCGCACACATGACGTTACAATCTATACCACGTGATTGTCCGTTCGATTCCCCACCAAGGCATGCAACCTCCGAGTGCGTCCGTGCCCTGGATGCAGAGATGTGGCACAAAACGTGAAAAACTGGGGAGAAAAGAGCAAAGGTGTGAACCCTAAATGAAAAATCGCACCGGTGTGAGCGGTGAGGATCGCGCGCGGATCGCCGCCCGCCTATCCGTTGGCCGGCAGGAAGCGTGGCAGCAACGCGCCGCGCGCCAGGCAGCGCTGCACTACGCCAGAGGCACGTTTGTGGCGCCGCCCGAGCTGCAGCTGGGCCAGATGGAGGTCGTCTGCGCACACTGCGGCGCGCTGCGCTGGCGACTGGAGTCGCCCGGCGTCTGCTGCCACGATGGCAAGGTGGCTCCGCCGTTCCACCCGCCGCCGCCTCCAGCTCTGCGCCAGCTGCTTGAGCCGGAGTCGCCACATATTAGGTGCCGACATCAGGAAATTTGTCCTACAATCTGCAGCGCAACGGTGCGTTGCACAAACTCGTAATGCGACTGAAAGTGTAGTCGCGTCAGTTGTGAATGTTGGCAACAAAATCCACGCCTGTACGCGCATGGCGACCGTCACACACAGCGCGCTGCCGAACGCCATGCCTGGGCCGGAAGCGCTCCTGCGAGCGACCCTCCGCCGGGCCACTGCCGGACAGACCAAGGCCCTCAAACAGATGACAGACTGAAGACAGGCCAAAATGCTCGTTCTTTGATGTGAAGCTTGGCTAAATGAGCAAAGTCGAAAGCCCGCCGCGTGAAAGGCCGTTTTAGCCCTCAACGCCCAGGGCGTACGTCGGGAGCCAGGGCAGTAAGTTGCCACCGTCACAGCGAAAAAGCCGCCATGGAACCCCTTAGTCTAGCCTCATTTGCGAACGCCATTTTTAAAATGCCGTCAACAAAAGGGTGCATGACAGACAGCACGAATCGGCCGACACGATGATGTACTTTTCAACGCTAGATCACGCATAGTTTTGACGGTAGCGGCTTGTATTGGGCTTCGTTTTTAAAATTCGGCCTGTTGCAAATTGTATTGCAACTTGCAGCGCAACGGTGCGTTGCAGAAACCCGCGTTGCACACTGAAAGTGTAGCCGTTTCGATTGTGAATGCTGGAAAATAAAATTCAGGTCTCTTCCTTCTTTCCGTGACGAGATATCACGGTGAACGTGAGACCTCGTCAAAAGCGGCCGAATTCATCTTGTCAGCACGTGTGCACATGCTACATGTGACGTGGCGCCAAAAACGCACCCGATTGCGATGGCCCATTCCGTGCGCTATCGGACTGTGCAAGTTTAATGTCGCTGCGACCGTTCGTTACCGGGATACGGCTTCAGGACACGAAGCGTCGGCCGGTCGTCCTGAAACTGGCATCGCCCGTGTTAACCCTTTGGGATTTTTGCGTTTTTCTCGAAACGCGCTCATTTTTGCGCAATGCGAAATTCTGACGCGTTAGAAAAGCGCAGCCGGCGCATCTCGGTCGTGTGTAAATTTGATAGAAAAATTCCCGACCGTTTGGCCTGCAGGTGACGCAACGGACACACACTGTTCCTTTAGTATCATAGAATAGAAAGATTATGTCGAAATACCTTGTAATTTTATGGTCACCCGTGTCTTGCGGTTGACAACGTGCGCAGGCATGTGTGATTGCCGTCAAGCCTACGCCAGCATTTTAACAATCTACTAACAAAAAAGGCAGTGACTACACGGTAAAGTTGCATTTTAAAAACCTGGGGTTGTGAACTTGTCTCTATTGTGAACTGGGGTTGTGTGCTCGTGCCTATCCAGTGGGTTACCGGTGTTTGTTCGATTGCCGCTCATATTCCTTGTCAAATTGCATGCGACCTCCTTGCCCTGCTGGGTGATCTGCTGCCTGCTGCCATCCTCACCAGCTAGCCAACGGCCACCATAGACCAGCCAGCCCAATCGAGCACTAGAACAGCTAGCCACCAGCCACCATAGACCAGCCAGCCCAATCGAGCACTAGAGCAGTTAGCCACCAGCCACCACAGACCAGCCAGCCCAATCGAGCACTAGAGCAGCTGGCCACCACCCACCATAGACCAGCCAGCCCAACCGAACACTAGAGCAGCTAGCCACCAGCCACCAAAGACCAGCCAGCCCAACCGAACACTAGAGCAGCTAGCCACCAGCCACCAAAGACCAGCCAGCCCAACCGAACACTAGAGCAGCTGGCCACCAGCTAGCAAAGACCAGCCAGCCCAACCGAACACTAGAGCAGCTAGCCACCAGCCACCAGAGACCAGCCAGCCCAACCGAACACTAGAGCAGCTAGCCACCAGCCAGCAAAGACCAGCTGACCCAACCGGACACTACATGAACAAAGCCGAACACCTGAATGGAAAGCGATACCTGATACAGGTGCTCTGTGTGTATGTGGCACTGATCAATCTACATAGTTTCTAGCTCCCGTTGCACTCAAACAGCGCCAATGGGGACCGGATGGTGGTGTCCCCGCCCAGCGGGGACCGAGTGGCGGTGGATCTCCGCCCATTGGGACCCAGTCGTGGTGGGTGCCCCGCCCATTGGGGACCGGGGGACAGTGGGTCCTGCACCCAGTGGACAGTAAGCCAGCATGACAACGGCGACGGTGGCTCGCAAAGAGCTGTCCATGCATTTAGTGGTGTGGACACAGGGGACCCCCCCCCCCCCGCCCGTGCTAGCTCTTGCCCCTCGCGGGCACGGGCGATGCAGGGCGACCATGTAAGGTGATGAGCTTCTCGGACTCGTCGCACGGCGCAGAGGGCTGGGGCGCCGCTGACGCGACGGTTCATGTGCTGTAGCTGGCACCGCATCGTCAACATCCGCAATACACGTGGATGCATCGAAACGCTGTCTTAAGACAAAACTAAGCAGATGTCAAGAGAAAACGCTCACAAATGCAAATACATGCCGGTGTCACCTTAGCCGGTGTTCTCAATTTTTGACTTCGCTCCCACACCTTTGGTACCAAAGCTTATATCCTGCCCTTGGGGGCAAATGGGGACGATGGCCGTCATTTTGGCCGCCATCACCAGCGGAGACCCCACAAATGGCGAAACATGTCCAGTGATATACTGCGCACTGCCCACCACCAGGCACGTCTGGTGACCCTGTCGGGCACCTGGCCGGCGGACGGCGCAGCCTACGCGGCCACTGACCTGCAGCTTCCGCGTGCGCTCGCCGACCCCGCCCAAAGCCGCCTTGTCGTCCTCCAGTAGCGACTTGGCCTCTTCCACCTGTACGCCGATGCGCTCCTGTTCGGCCAGGTGGGGCGCCTCCGCTCGCATGGCCTTGTAAATGCCGGCTTTCAGGCTAGCCACCTCGTCTTCCTGTGACGGGCGCGCCGAGCCATGTCACTCCCGCCATGTCAGCACTGTACGCGGCGGCCCACACGAGGCTTTGTCAAGAAAAACAGACGGCGGGGGCTTGGTGCGCATCCGAACCAGAGCTCATGTGTAGGGGAGTGGCTAGTCAGAACGATGAGAGGGAAGCACATGCTGGCTTACGAAGTACGCTCTTTTCCCTGTCGCCACATCGTTCCCGCGGCGGCCCGTCACGTCGTTGCCGTGCGACGTCATTTGCTTGGAGCCCGCAGCAAACGGCCATTTGCCTGCCACTGGTGCCGACAACAGGCGGACAGGAGGCGGTGCTTGTAGATCACAACCTCCACAACGGTGGCCATTAAGCCCGCACACTTGGCAGCCTGCCAGCAAACGTACCGCAGGTGGTCACCGCTCCGATCGACCCGTGGCGCCCGACCGGCGACCCGGCGCGGCCAGCACCCAACGTACCAGGAGCTGCAGATCGACCGGCTGCGGCCGCTCACGACCCTGCAGCTCGCGCAGCTGGAGGCGGCACGTCTCCAACTCCGTGTCCGTCTTCCCCAGCTGGGACTTGGCCTCCTGTAGCTGGCGGCGGTCGCTGATAGAAGCCGCGTGAGCGGCTTCCACTCGCTTAGTCACCGCATCGACGGCATCACGGTGATGCAACATCCGACTGTCCAGGTCACTGCGGCAAGCGGGTTGTTCGTTAGGGCACGCGCGCACGCACACGCACACACGAGCACGCACACACAGCCCCTTCCCCCCCCCCCCCCCCCCCGGAGACAGGCATACACCGTGTCAGCGGCAGGACCGCACCCTGGGACTGGGGGTCGCTCGGCGGTCAGCTGTCATCAGTGCCGATCGACCCCGTCCGGCAGGTGAGGCACCAGCCCCACTGGGACACGACTCCGAGAGCGACTCCGGACACGGCTCCGGCAGCAACTCCAGACACGGCTCCGGCAGCAGCTGGCGCCGGTTGTCGGGAACGCCACATTCATCGTCTCCACTTCAATCACCAGCGACACCATCTCCCATGCAACGGTCACCACACTTAACACTGAATAACAGGCGACGGCAGCAGTGGCGGGACGGCTGACCTGCTGGGCGAGCCGGTGTCCACCTGATGACCTACTAGACGAGCCGGCAACCGCTCCATGACCTGTTGGAAGAGCCGGCACCAACCTTTGACCTGCTGGAAGAGCCGGCACCCACCTGATGACCTGCTCGACCGTGACATGCAGGTAGCGGGGCTGCTTCGGCACCTTTGCCGGGTAGGTGCGGTACCTCGGGTCTGGGTAGTAGCGGTAGCCGGTGTTGGTCAGCGCCTGCTCGCAGCCGGACGGCACCCTACCGACAGACCACACCACGCTTGGGACGACGCCTGGCGGCGGGTACAACAGATGGGCATCATAGTAGTCACGTAAAAGCCCGCTACACAAAAAAGATCAGCACCCCGCTCCCACTGCGGACGTTATGACCATATCCATGGGATCACCTGGATGGCAAGAAGGTGGATATGTGTCATCCTATTGCAGCCAAGGTCCGCAGCCAAGGTTTGAAGAAAAGGATCGGGTTCAATGACGTCAGCAAAGCAAGACGATGAACGCAGCGTCGCAGCAAACCGATCGTTATGTGCTGCGCCGTGAAGAAGCTTACCCGACCAGACCGGAATGAGTTCTAATAACAAAATCATCCCGGTTTAGGGCCTACAAAAGCCACATGAACCTTTTGAAATTGCTTGAATTGATATATTACGGCACCACTGACCGATAAGTTTCCGCGAGGTACTTTGCACGTCCTGCTGATTAATAAACACATGACGGAGGTCTTAGTATATCGTCGCGTTGGCGACGTCAAATTACCACTGGTTTAGGAATGCGCATTGTCTAGCCTTTCCTATTTGCCTGGACACCGTCCGATTGTTGGCATTGTTCTTGCGACACTTTTAATTATATTTGCGGCAGTTTAACTTCTCGTTGGTGATGGCCCGCCCGAACCCAACGCTTTTCGGCCGGGCTCCAGCCGACTGGTCACATTGCTCGCGCCGGCCGGGGAAGAGAATGGAAGGGTGTTGACCGCATCTGCTATAGCGCCCCTCTCCAGCCGTCCCGCCGCCAGGGCCGCCGTCCGCGGTTCGACGACATGGCGGGCCGGAGGTCACGGAGGGGAGGCGGGTCAAATCGGTTCATCAGTTCAACCACACGGCCAGGCGCCTGGGCTCCTGGAGAGCTGAAGCCCCACACCTGTAGAAATTCGACCAAGACTGATGCAGAATACCAATAGTTTGCAAAACTGCTCGACGCCGCTAAATATGTCATCCCAATGCTTGTACCTGCTCCCGTCGCGACAAAGTGCCTGGTGCAGAGAAGGCGTTAATGAAAGGTCGCCGGCCGCTGCACCAAGTGGTGACCGGTGCCAGGGTGGTCGTGAGCTAGTCCGGCGGGATGCTGGGACTGGTCGTGAGCCAGTCGGGTGGGGTGCCGGGGTGGTCATGAACCAGCCGGACGGGGTGTCGGGCGTGGTCGTGAGCCAGTCGGGCGGGGTGCCGGGGGTGGTCATGAACCAGCCGGGCGGGGTGTCGGGCGTGGTCGTGAGCCAGTCGGGCGGGGTGCCGGGGTGGTCATGAACCAGCCGGGCGGGGTGTCGGGCGTGGTCGTGAGCCAGTCGGGTGGGGTGCCGGGGTGGTCATGAGCCAGCCGGGCGGGGTATCGGGCGTGGTCGTGAGCCAGTCGGGCGGGGTGCCGGGGGTCGTCATGAACCAGTCGGGCGGGGTGTCGGGCGTGGTCGTGAGCCAGTCGGGCGCCGCACCGTTTGGAGGAGGGCGCAGCTGCGGTGGAGGAGTCGACTGCCGTCCAGAAGGTCCGACCATAGCTGGAGCCTCCACCAGTGCAGCCAGTGATCCAACAACATCAGGTCATTCGGAAGACACCCGTGAACCCAGCTTCCGAAGTGAACCGAACCGTGAACCGTGAACCCAGTATCAGCCGGCTATCAGATGACGCCAGCTTTCAGGTGACAAGTTCAAATTTCGAAGATCTACACAACGTCGCCATGGTGGCGGGAGGACAGGACAGGACAGGTGAAGGTAATGTTGTGTTACCCGCTAGATCGCGCTGCCGCCACCGCCGCCGCCGCCGCCGACCCCGGCAGATCAGGTGACCCGCGGTCACGTGACGCCTCCCGGCACTCGGTCAGATGGAGAACTCCGAATCAGCGAGCCCCAGCTGAGTGGCAATACACGAAGCACTTGGAGTGCACGCGCTTGATACTGCTGCAAGGACCAAGACCCTCCAAAGTGAAACAACATAACGGTGCAGCAGCCTACTTTTCGTTTGGCTTCAAACCGACAGCGGGGAACCGCGCCGAGCTTCCGTTCCGCTGTCGCTGAACGCAAACAGATATTTGTGACGAAAGCGCCGGCGAGACCGGTCCGGCGAACGTCAGCGGTGCCACGCTCCGGCAGAGTGGTGTCCTCACTGTACCGGCGAACGTCAGCGGTGTCACGCCCCGGCAGAGTGGTGTCCTCACTGTACCGGCGAACGTCAGCGGCGTCACGCTCCGGCAGAGTGGTGTCCTCACTGTACCGGCGAACGTCAGCGGTGTCACGCCCCGGCAGAGCGGTGTCCTCACTGTACCGGCGAACGTCAGCGGCGTCACGCTCCCGCAGAGTGGTGTCCTCGTTGTATTTTGAAGGTGGATTTGTCGAACGTTATGTTTGAAAGGCAAATATTTCAGAATTCAGGGTATTGCACCCGACATCTTTCACCCCTACACCGAGCGGGGCGTTCGACATGCCACGAAAACTTCAGTTTGTGACGAGCGATCTCGGTAGTAACGTGCTAATCGCAGCAGATGGTAGTGCCTTTCAACCAGCAAAACGTGATGTTGTGTTCGAACTAGTCCGTGGCGGACGAGCGCACTGACTTGCTTGCAGACTGCGCTCTGCCGAGTCCAACCAGCGGCAGCATTTGCGGCACCCAAACGGCGCCACAGCCGGACCTGAGCCACTCAGCGGCCGATCAGGAGATTAGTGCCGAGACACTGAGAAACGGTGCCGGCAGTGCGTCATAGCCTGCACTCGGTAAGCGCCCGATGTTGATGAAGGCGACTAAACGGCCCGAGCTGGGACCGACAGCTACTGCAGATGCAGATGCTAGACCAGGTTACGTTGGGTTGGGCTCCCCATGAAGTCGTGCCATTAAAAATGGAGCAGTGTGTGCCCATCGCCGTCCACATAATACACTTTTCATCTCCACATAACAAAACCAATTTCGTTCGGACTTAAGCACAATTTGTTGTGGGACACTACATACCAGGCTGTTTTCAGGTCAACATGCATACAAGTGCGAATCTACATGCATTAGTGATGCCAAAATCCCGTAGCCAGCAGTATAGTCAGAACGTGTCAGTCATGGATCGTGTGCAGCGATAACGAAAAAGCGCAACTACTGCAACGGTGTCGGTTTTTAGTGCAGGCGTTCGTTTTTTTATTTGCGATCATCTTTTTTGTCATTGAGAAAACAAACTACACGGAATTCTCGCCGACGACGGCGCGTCAATGCCCAAGTCAATGGAGGGGTGATGGAGGGATGATAGACCAGCTACAGCCGAGGACAGGTGGGTAGCGGGTGCAGGTGCTCCGGCCACTGGAGCTTGGAGCAGGGACAGGCACTCAACATCGCCAAGCACAGCCCAGAAAAGGGCCGCTAGATGTGAATGCCAGCGGACGGGAGTTCTGAACGCAGTGGCTAGAAATTCGCGACGGGCCACGCTCCACCTTGAACATGACCTCAATAGTAAAGGAAAACGCGTCAAACCGGGGCACGACCGCCGAAGCGCCGCAGCCAGATATGTCGTTCAGGACAACACACGGCGTCAAACCGGGGCACGACTGTCGAAGCGCCGCAGCCAGATCTGTCGTTCAGGGCGAACACACGGCGTCAAACCGGGGCACGACTGTCGAAGCGCCGCAGCCAGACCTGTCGTTCAGGACACCACACTGCGTCAAGCCGGGGCACGACTACCGAAGCGCCGCAGCCGTTACCCCGCAGCGAGGACGCCTAAAGAGCACGTGGTTTGCCGTGAGGTAAAGTGTTCGTGTGAGTTTCACACCAACGCCTGAGGCCTGCTAGCCGAGGATAACCGTAGCCGAGGCCACGGCTGGCGTGCGTATGGCCAATACGCAATCTGCAGCGGAATTACCTCTTCCCTTTTCACTTTGCAATAGCAAGACAGTCACAAGCCCAGCTAGGACCTTCAGGCCCTGAGTTCGCTATTCACCGCCTCACCCCAGCAGTGCTGCTATTTGCTCTGCAGGAATGTTCTAATTGCTCTGGGTAAAAAATAATGTTTGGCAAAAATATATCGGCAGGAATTGGTATAAAACGCGCATATGACGCCTGCCCTGCTCACTTCGCAGCGGCGTCGGCAAGATCGTTCCCCGCGATTTCGACGTGGCTGGGAATCCAACACAGGGCGACTCTTTTCCCAGCTCGATCCAATGCTGGCGGACGTGATAGCGTTTTTTGTTTTGCTCACAAAGGTGTCATGGCGGGTAAAATATCGTAACTGCAAAAACGGCTTCTTAGTGAGTCCGTTAAAATCAAGCGTAAGGCCCCTTCACACATTTCGGCAAAGCGCTTTGATAATCACAATACGTTCTTATGTGAGAACAAACAAGTGTGCTGGTTATGAAAACGAAGAAGCTAAGGCACAGGCGACAAATGCACGGGCTATGTCTATCGCAGGTGAGCTTGAGAGCATGGAAGAACGATCAAATGGTCCATCCGCCTCACTCCGCCGAAGAGGACTTATCCGCCTCACTCCGCAAAACGGAATTCCGCTGTCCTGCAGCCGGGCCTGAATCCAGCTACAGCAACGGTCCGCCGCTGCGGTGTATCGCGAAGCAAGCCAACTGCGCCATACGACGGGTGGGAAGGGAACCGGCGCACATTGAGAACGAATTGCATTCCGAGCATTTTCTTGGTCAGTGGCGTGTCTGCGTGTGATGGTGGCGGCTCGCGTGTCTGCGTGTGATGGTGGCGACTCGTATGTCTGCGTGCAACGGCGACGACTCGCGCGTCTGCATGCAACAGCGGCGGGTCGTGTGCCTACGTGCTACAACGGCGGCTCGTGTGCCACTACCAAAAGACTAGCAGCGCAGGGTGACAGGCGCAATGCTCCAGCAATGGCACGAAGAGCTGTGTTTGACTACATCCACAATAGGCTTGTTTGACTCGCATGCACCATCAGATACAAAATGTGAATAGTCTAGCTGGTACCGGGTCAGCGAACGATATCAAAGCATGAGCGTACCCTCGTGAGCACCATATGCAGGGCGTGGCAGGCTTTCCAGCATAACTAAAGTTTTCAGACATTACTCGCATTAAGTGTTGAGATGCACTTTGTAAGTGCACCAACGGTCCAGTCACATGGACCAAAACTTTACAACCGGCCCCCACGGCACAAGTTGACCCTACAGGCGGAGGCCCATGTCAGCACGCTGCTGCCGCCGGCTCAACGGGTTGCAATGGCTCTAGCGGTAGAGACGCGGAACCCATTTGTGATGCCCATTCCTCCACTCGCAGCAGGAACGGCCGCAATTGCCTTTCTATGGATAGCGTACGGGCGGCCTCACGCCAGATCGCAAAGGCGTCAACCTACAGTGAACGGCCACTGGAGTGCGGTAGAGCGTCACCGACATCGCTGATGGCAATGACGAACAGGGCCACATGACACAGTGAACGGCCACTGGAGTGTGGTAGAGCGTCACCGACATCGCTGATGGCAATGACGAACAGGGCCACATGACACAGTGAACGGCCACTGGAGTGCGGTAGAGCGTCACCGACATCGCTGATGGCAATGACGAACAGGGCCACATGACACAGTGAACGGCCACTGGAGTGCGGTAGAGCGTCACCGACATCGCTGATGGCAATGACGAACAGGGCCACATGACAACCCCAACCTACAGTGAACGGCCACTGGAGTGTGGTAGAGCGTCACCGACATCGCTGATGGCAATGACGAACAGGGCCACATGACACAGTGAACGGCCACTGGAGTGCGGTAGAGCGTCACCGACATCGCTGATGGCAATGACGAACAGGGCCACATGACACAGTGAACGGCCACTGGAGTGCGGTAGAGCGTCACCGACATCGCTGATGGCAAGGACGAACAGGGCCACATGACAACCCTTTCATGGGACGTCATTTACTGAAGGAAATTCAACAAACACTGGCTGCCGACACACACTCACAAGACACAGCCAACTAAAATGTCTTCAAAAAGGTGGGCGAATGTAACAAACATGTCACATGCAATGTGTAACAAAGCTGCGTCTGACAGCCGGCTGAGACGCCACTGAGCGGACCCGGGCTGTCCACTACACAACTGACGAGCCCTCGTCCAGCCCCGCCACCCGCCACTGAGCGGACCCGGGCTGTCCACTACACAACTGACGAGCCCTCGTCCAGCCCCGCCACCCGCCACTGAGCGGACCCGGGCTGTCCACCGCACAACTGACGAGCCCTCATCCAGCCCCGTCACCCGCCACTGAGCGGACCCGGGCTGTCCACTACACAACTGACGAGCCCTCATCCAGCCCGGCCACCCGCCACTGAGCGGACCCGGGCTGTCCACTACACAACTGACGAGACCTCATCCAGCCCGGCCACCTGCCACTGAACACACAATGTCACCGTCTGAACACACAATGTCACCGTCAACGGAGAGTACCGGCGAGCGCAGTCACCAGAGTTGGAACGATCGTGCCATTATGTTACTACTGACGTCTTTTGACTGAACTGGGCACGGCTAATGCCAACTGGAGGTTTCAAGACTACGACTCGTGTGATAATCGGCTCACTTTACATTGTCCGATCCGTCTTTGGGTGGTATCCATCAACTGCTTTTTATGTCACTCATCTGTCCTGCTAGTCAAGTCAGCCCGCCAGTTGGCCGTCTCATATTTTCACGTAAAAAACAACAATGTGAAACGTGACAGAACACATGGGATGAAAATGACAGTGACTGATCTGGAGCGCGTCTGAACAAACTCGTTGAAGCACAGAAATAGCCTGAAATTGCTGTAAGTGCTCGCCAGACGCTGTGGTGGGATGCTCCCAAAGCAGAGAACAGAACATGCCGAGGAAGACACCGCCACTTCAAATGGCCTGGACATTCCGGGGAAGACGCCACCTCGTCAAATGACCGAGACACTTCGGAGAAGCCACCGCCTCGTCAAATGGAATTGTGGAGAAGGCGCCGCCTCGTCAAATGGAAGGGGCAACGTGGGGAGACACCACTCCGTCAAATGGTCGAGACAGCTCGGGGAAGAGACCACCTCGTCAAGTGGGAGGGGCATTCCGGGGCAGACGCCGCCTCGTCAAATGGCCGGGACATCCCGGGTAAGACACCGCCACATCCGTCAGTGCCACACACCTCTGCCGGTAGGCCATAATGTCGCACGCGTCGGCGTCCGTCTCCAGCAGCAGCACAGATTCGGCGCGCGTCTGGTCGATGATGGCGTTGGCCACCACTGGGTTCCTGATGTCGACTACGGACCACACCGACACCCAGCGGCCGGAGGTGTCGATACCGTGCCGGCTGACGTCGTGTACCTGCAGCGGCCAACGACGCCGGCGTGAGTCGGCCCTCCCCGTCTCGCAGGCCCACTGCACACCGGCCAGCCGGCGCAGTCCCCACACGCACTGGATCGTCGCTCACACAGTACGGAGTCACGGGCCGACGCCGGCACCAGGCGCCACAGGCAACCGCCGGTTCACATTCCATAACTGGCGGAGAGATCACCGCGTGACCGACTGTCATCTGAGTCAGGCACTTGAGTGACCAGCGTCACCTGAGTGAGGTGCCTGTGTGACCAGCGTCACATGAGTCAGAGACTTACGTGACCAGCCGCCACCTGAGTCAGGAGCCTGTCGTGTGACCAGCCCTTACCTGGGTCAGGAGCCTGTCGTGTGACCAGCCCTTACCTGGGTCAGGAGCCTGTCGTGTGACCAGCCCTTACCTGAATCAGGAGCCTGTCGTGTGACCAGCCCTTACCTGGGTCAGGAGCCTGTCGTGTGACCAGCCCTTACCTGAATCAGGAGCCTGTCGTGTGACCAGCCCTTACCTGGGTCAGGAATTTGCTAACGATGATGCGCGGCTTGACTCGCTCGTGCCCCGTGTGCTTCTGCAATATGGAGCGCATGCCCCGCTGGTCGTTATGGTTGTCAACCAGGTAGGCAGTCAAAATATTCTGTAAGCAGGTCTCCACCAGCCGGGTCCACCGCTCGCACCCATCTTGAATGCGCACGTAAGCTCCTGCGGACCACGGCAGCGTCAGCACCGAGTCGCGCCAGCCGCGGCTGGCACCAAGCCAAGCGACGCAAACAAAACTAATATGCGGGGTCACATTCAGCAAACAATGTCACTTGTCATGGTGTTCCCGATTTCCTATGCTACGGCTATTGCATTACATACGACGGTAAATGTGCGGCCTTTGCAGTTTCCGCTAACACGCCCAGGTCGTAGTCCCACGCATGGCGGCGCGGCCTCTGGTCGAGAAAGGCCGGTCATCTTGACAGCCCTCAGTCCCACCAATACCTGTCTCATTCGTCAGAATCAGATAAAACGCCATAAATCGACTGGAATCAGGGGAGAATTTGACATACAGTGGATCAAGTTCGAGCATTCAATCATCTTCGTCGTTACACAGAGACTGCGTTGATCCAATTATCACATGAATAAATCCCCATCAGACGCACGGCATCAAAGCACAGCACAGAGTGCATCACGTTTCCTCGGGAATGTACAACGCAATGTACATGTACATTGGGAATGGGACATGTACAATGGAAATGTACAACGGGCATCGAGTCGGCTCAGCAACAGTCCAGACTGACAACAGTCCAGACTGAACGACATTCCAAACTGACGACAGTCCAGACTGACAACGACGGTCCAGGCTGACGACATTCCAGACTGACAACGAGTCCAGACTGACGACAGTCCAAACTAACGGCGGTCCAGACTGACGACGGTCCAGACTGACGACAGTCCGGACTGACGACAGCCCAGACTGACGACAGCCCAGGCTAACGAAGACGGTCCAGGCTGACAACGGCAGTCCATACTGACGACACGGTACTCGCCCACGGGTCCGATAGGCTTCTTTTGGAAGCGCCCCTCTCTATAAAGGCGGTCGACGTCCGCGTCGACGCCGGCCACCCAGGCGCCGAACACGCCGCGCTGATCGTGCTGGTTGGCCGCGCAGTCGTCCCGGCGCCGCTTCAGCTCCGCTGCCGAAACACCACCAACTGGTCTTGACACCGGACCAGACCGGACCGGACCGGACCGGACCAGACCAGACCAGACCAGACCAGACCAGACCGGACCGAACCGGACCGGACCACATCGCATCGCATCGGATCGGACCGGACCGGACCGGACCAGGCCCCAGTGGTAATGACGCCGCACCAGCCACACGCCACACTGCGGACGCGGAAATGCTGTAGTCATCGTCACGGGACCAGCGTTGCCCTGGTGTTGTACTCGTCACGGGACCAGTGTTGCCCTGCTGTGGTCATCGTCACGGGACCAGTGTTGCCCTGCTGTGGTCATCGTCACAGGACCAGTGCTGCCCTGCTGTGGTCATCGTCACGGGACCAGCGTTGCCCTGCTGTAATTATCGTCACGGGACCAATGTTGCCCTGCTGTAGTCACCGTCACGGGACCAGTGTTGCCCTGCTGTGATCATCGTCACAGGACCAGTGCTGCCCTGCTGTGGTCATCGTCACGGGACCAGCGTTGCCCTGCTGTAGTCATCGTCACGGGACAAGCGTTGCCCTGCTGTGGTCATCGTCACGGGACCAGCGTTGCCCTGCTGTAATTATCGTCACGGGACCAATGTTGCCCTGCTGTAGTCACCGTCACGGGACCAGTGTTGCCCTGCTGTGGTCATCGTCACGGGACCAGCGTTGCCCTGCTGTGGTCATCGTCACGGGACCAGCGTTGCCCTGCTGTTGTGCTCGTCACGGGACCAGTGTTGCCCTGCTGTAGTCATCGTCACGGGACCAGTGTTACCCTGCTGTGGTCATCGTCACAGGACCAGTGCTGCCCTGCTGTGGTCATCGTCACAGGACCAGTGCTGCCCGAACACATGTAACTAGTTCTTTCGTAGGCACTTAATCACTGGCCTCCATAAATGAAAGCAGCTACCAGTGGCCTAGTTTCACTGGTGTATTTGGATATCGTTCCTCGTAGCATAACAAAACGACTTCGCCGTTCTGCAACTTACAGCAGCATCCTGCCCACTTCGGACCTTCTCTGGAAGAAATTAAACGAAAGAAAGTTTCGAAAGGGTCGGATACATGCTTAATTCCATCGAGCACTATGTCGAAGCGAAAAACGCGTGCCTACTCAAACGCCGCAGCTGCATTTTTCAAATGCACGTCACATAACATAAGGTGTCTTTCTGGTTTAGGAACCCTACGGGTGGAGAATACCATAAAAATGTCCAACCGCCAACGATGGAAATATTTGTTCGTCAAAACGTAGCTTTTAAAGCTCATTGACAAGAGGAGAGGTTCACTCCTACTTTTACGAAATGTGGCAAAGACAGCCAAATGTGGTGTCGACAAGAAGCCGCTGAAGGAACCGGAGAGCGAGAGCAATAGAAAGAGCAAGAGCAAGAGCGGGAGTGGGAGTGGGAGTGGGAGTAGGAGTGGGAGTGGGAGTGGGAGTGGGAGTGGGAGTGGGAGCGGGAGCGGGAGCGGGAGCGGGAGCGGGAGCGGGAGCGGAAGAGAGGGAAAGAGAAATAGAGAGACATACAGACAGACAGGGATGGTGACCATCCACAGTACCCAGACTCCACGGCTCTGGCCTGCCAGATGCGCAGCTGCGTGACTCCACTACTCCGGCCAGCCGACCGGGAAACCAGCCCATGGCCTCCTCTCGGAACAGGACTACAATACCATACACACTGTACCAAGCTGAAGGAAACTGAACCGGGCGAGCTACACAATGGTGTACCTGCAATCCCCTGTGAACAACGTTCATTTAAAATGATAGTTTTTTTCGTAATACTCTGGCCAAAGCCACCACAAAAAGTAGACCGTGGCACAGCGATCGCTTTCGTCAGGAGAAAGGAACGGATCTAGCGACATCAGCCGCGTTCGATGTAGCGTCATGCGCGCTGACGGAGCGGGCGATGTGTGGGCTGACGGGTAGGATCACCTGGCCTTCCCTTCTCCTTTACCTTTTCACAACTATAAACCACACACAAGGCTCTGGCTTGCCGCCGACAGTGACACAATAACCAGTACCGAGTACTACCTACACGCACACTACCCACTAGTGGTGTACCGAAGTTTGGCTTCCTGCCCGGGTATTACCATCTATCATCTACATATCATATATCATCTGTAAGTTGAGCGTTTCATTACATTCCAATCTCAATTCAACTTTCTCCCGTCTCACTTAAAGTGTTCACTCGACTTTCGTGTGGAAAAGGCCTATCCTTTACTGCTGCTGATACTGGCATGAGCCCATTGTTCTATTGCTTTTCTGCTCCTAATTGCACAGACAAAGCCCATGTTCGAGACACGAGGCGCATAGCTCCCGTTCTCCATCTTTTACGAATACGCAAGCGCTGTTAATTTGCTGGGCAACGCAACCACTCGACACACCATTCACCTCTCAATGGCTACACTCGCCTCAGGCAGTCCACTTCCCTTCTTGTCTATCCTACACGTCGCATCTTTCCCAAATTACGGACGTGCCCCCACCTAGCATATTTGCAAGCTCAAGAGCTACGCGAAACTCACACTTCTTCGTTAGAGCAATTCATTTAATCTGGTAGCGTTTTCTCTCTATAGTGGCGGGCTGACGAAAAATCCTAGTCAGTCAGCCGACGTGTGACGTCACACACCACGCGACTTTGCGGTTACACGTGACGTAGGGGAAATACTGGACCGTGACTGGTGCTGACAAATGTGCTGACGACAGATCAAACGAGGCCACCCATGACCATATCTGGTAACACCCACACCATCCAGCAATTAGGCGACGACGCCAAGTGAAAGCTGCTGCGCCAACGCTGCACCAGTGAGTCTCTCTGCCTGTTAGTCTCGTGGATGGCGGACTTCGTAATGAAATCGCACGCCGTAACAGCCATGCAAATCAGTGTGGTGAGTGAATGAGGTTTAGCTGGCGCCTCCATGATGATAACTGGTAGCCCCGACTTCAGGCTTGACAAACGCTACCAGGCTTAGGCTTGACATACGTTACCACTGTCTGCACAAGCCGTGTCACTGGCAACGCAGCCGTCAAACACACCCAAACCCATCCGCACAGAGCGATCTGTGCAGAATGCTGCGATTAACCCATCTGAAGACATGCAAAATAGACTTGCCTGAAGGAATGGTTCGCCATTCCTTGGAATAAGATGGAAAGATAGGTTGCTGCGTGGTCCCGCTCACGTTCTGGGCGTTCTTCCGATTTTCGCTAAACTGGCACCCTCTGCTCCTGGAACCACATCCCTCCAAACTATGTCTCCCCCGGAACTACACCCCTGCCGTAACTACACCGCCATCCATCACCAGACTATTTAGACTGCCTACCCATATTCCTGCATTTTGTCTTCATATCGGCCTCCAACTCTGCAAGCTCGCTTTTCTTCTGGCGAAGCGAATCTTCCAAACGCTTCAGGTGCTCCCGCTGCATCTTCTCGGAGGCCTGGAGCTGCTGCAGCTGTTGCTGGCAGCGCTGCTCCGTCTCCTGGCGCTGCCGCTCCTCTGCCACATCGTCGGGCTGCGCCCTGCCGGCGCCGCCGAAGCTGCTCAGTCCAAGAGTGACGGTCAGCCGGGCTCTCCCGCCTGACGTCAGCGGCGAGCAGCCGGGCCCTCCCTGTCTGACGTCAGCGGCGGGCAGACGGGAGGCCCCTCCCGTCTGATGTCAGCGGCGGGCAGCCGGGCCCTCCCGTCTGACGTCAGCGGCGGGAGGCCGAGTCCTCCCCGTCTGATGTCAGCGGCGAGAAGCCGAGCTTCCGCCGCCTCACGCAGCACGTCCACAACGAACTCGCCGTCTAGGCACGGTGATGACGCTGGACGGCATGTCAACTATATCATGTTTGGTTTCTCGAGCGGAAGACGGGAGAGGGCAAATCGAGAGGTTAGGCTTCATTCGTTTAGGCTTGAAAAGGTCAACGCCAGTACTAACCTGCAAGCAAGACGGCAACTATCAACGAGCAGCATCTCACAGAAGAGGAACGTGGCAGCGAGGAGCGTGAGCACTTGTTTTATGAATTGGCGTTGTCCTGAACTAGGCACGCGTCCACCAATGCCGTCATGGGGCGGTGCTGGTCGGCGCTCACCCGTGTCGCTGCCTATCGACCTCGGCCATCAGTTGACCCAGCTCCTCGCGCAGACTGGCGGTCTTCGACTGGGCAGCCTGAGCGGCGGCGGCCGCGTCCCGCTGCCGCTGGTACAGCCCTTTCACGTGTGTCTGACGCTCATCTTTATGCTGCTTGATCTGGCGCAGCTCGCGCTCGACCTCCTTTAGCTGCTGCTCCAGCTGGCTGCGCGGCACGGCACGGTACCGTCACGTGTCAGCCGCGGCCCGAGCGGCGCCCGGCAGCCGGTGGCCCGCTCCAGCGGTGTCGCTGTTCATTCAACGGTGACCTTTCGACCCATGCGACTCGGGACACTGAGGAATTGCAGATGCTATGTACTCCCTTACATTACGTTTTCAAACGACGCTTTCGACGCTCAAAAATGGCTCGCAGTTGACAGTGTCTGATGCAATCCGGAGAGGATTAAACGGCAGGCAATGAGGGAGTTCTTACGTCCGTCTGTTATCTGCAGTCATCTTATTGTCCTCGTATCGCTTCACGCTTTCTTCCAGTTCTTTCACACGTGACGTAATTTTTTCCACGCTCTCCTTCTCCTTGTGCAGCGCCTGCTCTTTCTCCTTCACCTGAGAAATTCAAAAAATGCACAGGAGTCGATGACATGTTCACTCAATAGGCCCCGACCATCTCCATCACTAGTAATTCACCGAGAGAGAACGCATAAAAAACACCAGCTGAGCGTCGGCCGCTAGAGCACCGAACCATACACCGCTACCGAGACCGCAGACCGCCAGAGAGTGACGCCGCAGGCCGCCAGCCCACACGGCTCGTCAGCACGCCGCACCCCATTTTCTAGTCGATCTTTTGTCTACCACATAACTACAGAACACAGGGGGTCGGGCAGGCCGCTGCAGCTGCGCCGGCTCCGTACACCGACGGTACACCGTCTGCGGTTACACCGTCTTCAGGAGCGGCATTTTCCATGGCCTGCAGCGCAGTCGGCGCTGAAAACATCCTTGAAAACATCACCACACCCTTCGATTGTCAAAGGCATGCTCCCCGAACATTCTGCATTACTGCATTGCGGAACGGGCACACGTAATATTAAAGAACTTTTATGGCCATGCAGAGCGGATGGTAACAATGGAGTCTATAGTTGACAAAGCAATCCCGACCTGCTATAATACGGTGCGCAAATAAGCCCGTGTGAAGATAAAATGCCATTCTGTGCTTGGTTCTGGGTTGGTTATCACACCCACCTTCAGTTACATGCCCAAAATATCAAGTCAGTTATGCTGTTTCCACCGCTGTCGTATTTCTGACTATTCCACCCCAGCCGCACTGCTTCGCTTCCGCGCAGTCCCAGTCTGATCTACAATTCAGTTTACCCAAAAGCTTACTGCTGAGACATCTCAGATAGCGCCAAGTAGCGCTAAATAAGTTACATGTACATATAACCTTCACAATCGCCCTCGATTTGCACTCCTGCATTGCGTGCAATGCTGCTACTCACAACTGGCGTCCTCTCACAAATGGGATTCCAGGATTCATCGCTGCGCTCGCAACGAAGGAAGCATCTTCTCGACGACTTGAATGCCGATCGGCGTGTTCCCCCTACACCTACGATCAGCGGTAGCCCCATGTGCTTAAAAACGGACCTTCCCACCCGCGTGAGGCGCTCATCAATCCCCGTGCCGAGCTGTCATCACGCAGATGCACTTGTAATACTCGTGCATGCGTGCTGTGATTGACTTCAGGCGCTTACTATCCTTTGTTTAACCTGTAGCGGCACGAGGCCAACACCTCAACGAGTGGGTCACCGATAGGTGGCGCCAACGAGTGTTGTGTGTGGTGGACATTGTGTGAGAGCCGTGCGTGCGCCTATGGTTTAGCTGCACTGTTTGTATGTCGGGCCTTGCCATGGATGCTATACCTACCAATCAGCGATTGCTTGTCTATCCATTGTTCGTCCGCTGGTGGCATACCGATAGGCAGAACTAGTGAGATGTTTACTGGCTGCCGTCAAGCGATCAGCTGCGCCGAGCCATGGCGCTGAGCGATCCAACCCTCTTATCCCCTGTCTTGCTTTATCCGGACTCCTCTCAACCGCCCACTTGTCCGGGGTAGGCCGCATGCGCCAGCCACGAGTGGGCCGGGACCGCCGTGGAGGGGGACCCCGACCGGACGCCCGGTACATACCCCGTAGAGGGGTCCCTCCGCGGGCTGAGGCTCGGCGGTTGGCCCCAATCAAGCAGGTGCATGGAACAGGTCACATTATAGTATTGATGGCCAGTCAAGGCATCATGGTGACAAGGTGACTGCAAAATCTACAGCGCAAACCAAATGGAACACTTTACCAGACCTTACAGTATGCGAATCTACTAAAACGTGGCACGTGTGCGACTCTGGGCGTTGTGTCGTCCATCGCCCACTTCAATAAAGCAGAGCGTTGGTGATGGCTACAAGCTCGGAAATGAAAACCGACGCGTGTGCAGGCAGCGTGGGTGACCGTGTTGTGAAGCCACATACAAAAGCGCATCCTACACATGCATCCGTCTTAGAAGCATCCGCAAACGTCATCAGGCATCCGTCAGAGGAGGCTATGTGCTCTAAGGCTCTTTTTTAATTTCGTCGCGAGAACGCGCTGCTTTTGCGTGCTTGATAGCAAAACATCCACTCTTGGCGGCGCTAGCTCCCAAGAAGCAGTCTCCATGGGTTGGGTCTGATGATGCATCGCAAGCTGAAGCCGCCGGCATCTAGAAGTTCTCGCGTCCGTACACAGAAAGGGACGTTTGTCATGACCGTTGAATCAGAAATAGCATTCGTAAAGTACAGTTCGGCCCTGGTCGTCACCATGCGGGGAGTTGCATTTCACAGTCTGAAGAGACCTCGTTGACGCCTCGCACGGTGCCATACGCGTGTGACGGGCTACCAACACGCCAGCGAGGCCTCACCTGTGCCCATGACAAATGGCTCCCCAGCAACTGCACACGGTCTTCAATTTTCTTCCTGTCTTTGCCCCTATTCGCTTGATCCTTCAGCTCCTCAGCCCTCTCCTTCTCCCTCGCAAAGACCTGAAATTGGTGAACATACAAACGGTGGTCGTCCGCTATCCGTGAGCCCGGGACTGCACCTCGCCCGGCCTGCTTGTGGAGAACCGAACACGCAGGTGACAGCTGCCCCGGTTACTTACGTATCTTAGAATAAAACGCTTCCTAAAATGCCGAGCCACCGAGGCTAAAGAAGGCCCAAGCTGTTTAGAAAACGCCAAAAAGCTCGACCAGCTTCCATTCCAGCTGGGTAGTACGCAAACTGTCTGGGTCATAAGGTTGTTTCAAAAGTGCATGGCCATGTGAAGGACTGGCGTAGTTTGGAAGAAACGCATTGTCGCACCTTCTCTTTTGTATCCAGGCTGTCTTCGGCTGACCGCAGATTCCGGTCGATGCTTTCATAGTCGTCCATGATGTGCTTCAGTCGAGTGGCGCGCAAGAACAACTGGTACTTCTTCCTCGGGTCCTGCGACACACACACCGGATTTGATCAGGGCCAGAGTCAGCGCCCAGGGCGGCGACTGAAGGCATATCCACCGGACCAGTAGTGGGCACGAGCTCCGACAGGCTGCGTACGCCATAAAGGCCGGAGTCGGCGTCCAGGGCGGCGACTGAAGGCATACTTCACCGGATCAGTGGTGGCCACAAGCTCCGACAGGCTGCGCACGCCATAAAGGCCGGAGTCGGCGTCCAGGGCGGCGACTGAAGGCATATTTTACGTATATATACATATATATATATATATATATATATATATATATATATGCATAATTATTTCAGTCATAAGTTTTCCTCAGCATACACATGGAGCACATTCGATTTAAATCACAAACGTTGTGCAGTAGAACAACAGACGTTTCCTTGTTTTGCTGTTCTAAAAGTTCTACTTGTTTGCAATGTCTTGAACCAAGTTTTCCATGTTCGTAACAAACTTTCCGCACAACACACACACATAAAGCAGCCATCTGTACGTCACGCAGAACATTAAATTTGTGCTTATATATTACAATGTCCTGCTGTGTAAAATTTTCCACTCGTAAGTGTTCCACTCCATGACGTTTTTGATTTAAATGAAATGCTGGCTTTATGAGCGCGTAATGAGGACAGTCCACGCTTTAATTATATCTATAGGTTTTTCTGAACTCATTTATGCTACTTTGAAGATAAGACCATTCTTATTTTCCTATACATCGGTCGGTCATCGGTCAGCGACCAGCAAATTGTTCTAGATAACGTTCTTTTAGAAAAGCATGACTGCTCGGGGCGTCTGGTTCTCCAATTCAAGGCGACAACAGTCACTGTTCTAGTCCGTTCTAAGCAAAAAGTGTCTGGTGTTCATTTTAAGTCAGTGATCTTGTTTGACATATACATGGTCATGGTGACCAAGAACCTAGGAAATTGTTTCGATGTTGAATTCGATTAAGCATCAAGAATTCCGCTGGGCGGTATGTTCCGAACAAAAAAGGTTGATCTGGGTCACTTTAGGCCAATGCGCTGCTCTGACTCTGCGAAACCAGGTGTGCACCTTACGCACCTCTCAAAAATCACCATAAAATCTTCTGGCCATGTTAGCTGTAGCTGCGGCCACGGCCTGCTGCTGCTCTGACGATGGTGTTCTATAGCCTGACCATGACCGACTGTAGATCTGATCATGGTCAGCTGTAGCTAGCTCTGACCATGGTCAACTGTAGCTCTGTATATGTTCACCTGGAGCTCTGACCACATTCACCTGTACCTCTAATCATGGTCACCTGTAGCTGACTATGGCCAACTGTAGCTCTGACCATTGATCATTTGTAGCTCTGACCATGGCCATCTGTAGCTTTGACCATTGCCAACTGTACCTCTGACCATGGTCATCTGTAGCTGACCATGGACAGCTGTAGCTCTGACCATGGTCATCTGTACCTCTGACCATGGTCATCTGTAGCTCTGACCATGACCAACTGTAGCTCTGACCATGGCCACCTGCAGCTCTGACCATGGTCACCTGTAGCTGACTATGACCAACTGTAGCTCTGACCATGGTCATTTGTCGCCCTGACCATGGCCAACTGTACCCATGACCATGGTCACCTGTAGATCTGAACATGGTCAACAGCAGCTCTGATCATGGCCAACTGTAGCTCTGACAATGGCCAACAGCAGCTTTGACTATGTTCACCTTTAGTTCTAACCATGCTCACTGGTAGCTCTGACCATGGTCACCTGTAGCTCTGACCATGGCCAACTGCAGATCTGATCATGGTCAACTGTAGCTCTGACCATGATCAACAGTGGCTCTGACCATGGACAACAGAAGCTCTGACCATGGCCCACTATACGTCTGACCTTGATCAACATTAGCTTTGATCATGGCCAAGGCTCAAGACCAATCCAGATGCCCAGAAGCCTCAGCGTGTGTGTGCGTAATTGGGGCTTTACGACGTACTCAGCTGCTGCGGTTACATGGCGTCGCCTGCCCCTCACCCTGGAAGGAAGATCGGGCACCGTGGGGAATCGAACCCCGTACCTCTGGTTTCCCAGACTAGTTTCCAAGACGCGCAGTGGTTAACGCAGACGCGTTAACCACTACACTACCGGCACCCCCAGAAGCCTCAGCGATTCACTTCCTTACTTTATGATACAATCAGTTGATGGACGCAGATCACCACCAACAACTTTCACCAACAACTGACACAAAAGCAAGAAGGCATGAAGTGTCCATTTTTAAATTACAAAGCACATAGTTTTAAGTTTGGGGGGTGACAGAATTGCTCCGCCATGACCAGGCACATTCGATGACATTGAAACGCCGAAAAATAACGCTAATCCCTGCACAAAAGAACTGGGACATAATTCTTCCGCCAGAGAGTAAACCCTACCTGGGAGACAGATGCGGTCCACAGTAGTCTAAACTCTAGATTGTTCTGTTATAATACAAACTATGAATGCACGTTAAGTCATCCATCAATAGACCACCCAATGAAACGGCAGCAATACTTACATTTACGAACAAGAAGGTTTTGGACGTGTCCTGCGTGAGGACCGTGATGGGATTATCCGTCTGTATGTTCAGTGCATCCAGAATACCTTCCAGATCCTTTCCCTTGCTAGCAATTTTCTTCCCTGGAGCACGGGAAAAGGCATCAACACATAGACATCAACATTTAACATCTTTCACGAAACGTGACATTTCAGCTAAAAACGTCTTCAATAGTTAAAACCATACCACAATCCACAAAACGTTAGGTTCCTCACTACATGCCACTCAAATATCGGTAAAACCAAAGGTCAAAGCGCACCGAACATCAAATTTACAGAACCCCAGTTCACCAATGCCAGAAGCCCGCCCTCCCCCCCCCCCTCCCCACAGCTGAATGTGGTTCGTGAAAGTAAGAGATCCAGCACTTCTGCATACGCACTTGCTCCGGGGAGCTTTAAACCCTGAATGCTGTTCGCACTATTCAACCCGGAGCAAATAACGCACGCAATTGATCATGCATAAAGTCGCGACATAAGGCTGTCCCCCGACTCAATGAATGACCCTATGTAACTCACTGACTCAATGAATGACCCTCTGTAACTCAATGACTCAATGAATGACCCCGCCTAGCTCAATCAAAATCGTTGGCTTGGTATACACCATTACCACGTCGTTAAAATTTCCAGGCTATTCCTAAGTATCTTTCTGATGCACTGTACGAACATTTCGGTATCATTTCAGGCACAGGGGTGTTCCAGGGCCCGGTGTTGTGACGGACCACACAGAAATTCGACCACCATGGCAACACGGTAATCCCCTCGAATTATACGCGCCGCATTGCGTTTACAAAGGCCGGTACTTCTGGTGCAGAACACTGCTGAACCATGAATATAATTTTTACAACGCAAATATATATATATATATATATATATATATATATATATATATATACACATACAATGCTGTTAGAGGGCTTGGGGCAGGTGATTTCCAGAGTTAGCCACCTAATTCGCTCTGCACAATGTGGCGACCGAACTTGACTTGGGTGTACCTAATCGTTATTTCTAACTGTAACATGTAACTACATATACATTACTCGCACTTGGTGTGTATCTTTGAACATGAAATATGTGATTAATTCTGAATGTCAGACCCTTAATAGATGACAAACGTCAGCGAATAACTTTTAATCTCGATGAACAGAACATCATATTAACAAAGCTAGAGCAAAGACAGAACTAATTATCGAAAGCACGTATGCTAAGGTCTTTAACAACACTAGCATAGCAGCAAGCAGGTATCGTGCTTGCAATGCAATATATATGTGTATATATATATATATATATATATATATATATATATATATATATATATGCATATACATAGACTTGTTCCGGTTTTGTGGAAGAGGGTGCAAAGACACCTAGCCTGGAGTATACACCAGCACTACGATGTTAGGAATGGATAACATAGGAAAATATTCGCACACAAGCGCACAATCGCACACAGCCGTAGCACAAAAAAAACTTAGACACAGAGATGGCGCCAGAGATGGCGAGGGGGGGGGGGGGTTAGAGGCTCTGCAACATATGAAACGTGAAGGCCTAGTACCGAACGCTGCATTTCATCGTTAACTTCACTGCACTACACAACGCCTCATAAAACTACACCACAGCGAGAACCGTACGCTAAAATAGTACATGAATGCTGCGGCCAGACCATAGGCCGCTGCGGTAGAACAACAGGTCGCCCAGGGGAAGCCGCTACAACTGCGCGTTTCCCCCGGTGACACACTCCCACCTCTAGTAAAACTGGAAACGGCCATGGCACCTGTCCACATATGCTTTACGGGTATCATGCTTTATCTACAGCGCATGACATCATTATGGTGGGCAACTTTATCTACTCCTCACATATCCTCTCCTCCCCCGCAACAGCCACTCTAGCTCCGCCTATGCCTTCAGCTTTGGTTTGTGCTTGTTCTCCTGGCAACATATCAAATGACTAGCCCATTTGTCAAGCATACACTCGATCAAAAACTCCCTATATGCTCCCTCCCCTCACAATTTGTATTACCTTGTTTGGGATCTCCTGGGCATGCCCAGGAATTCTCAATTTTGAAATTTTGTCGTAAGATGTTGTTTTTTTAAATAATTTTACGATCTGTGTTGGTTACGTTAAATTCGCCGAAAAACGTCAAACATGCCGTCTCAAGAACATCATATATTTCACCTCTGGTGACTTCCCTTATCTTCAATTTTTCCTCTTTCCAGAAATCATGAGCATCCCAGCACAAGAAATCAAACTCTGTTAGCCTTTTCAAGATCGGCAAAACATATCCTAAGACTTAAGGGGCTGGAGACTGAGCCTACTCCCTCGCTGGGAATGGGGGTAGCGTGAGGGCCACCAGGAACAGGGCTTATGACTCGCGTCTCAGTGATAGGCTGCATTAATGGCCCAGTGAAACTATGATGCCCGACGCCTCAGGGATTGACTCCATAAATGCCCCCACTAAGACTTATGACTTACACCTCAGTGACGGATTACATAAATGTCCCAATGGGAACTCTAACGTCTGACGCCTTCCTGCCGGACTCCGTAATGTCTCAGTAAGACTCTAAGCGACCCATCCAATGATTCTCCCCTTCTAACGTTGCCCCACCAACTGACTCCCCCACTGTTAGTTCCTGGTCCATTATTCAATGCAGAATGACTCCTCCCTGAGCTGTTAGCACCACTGACTGCCTCATTGTCCCGGTAACTGAGTCTACTCAGAGACTATCCTGCATAACTGAGCGACTCTCCACGCCTCGGCACTCACCTCATGTCATACGCCAACGACACGGACCGACTGCAATAAAAGACTGTCTCATTGCTCCCCACGTCGCAGCCCCAGGACTGAAGCCGTTTCTCCGGCCGGCTTCCCCACTGACCGGCAGCGGACTTGATGGAGAAGGAGGAACCGTCTTTGCGGATGGTTCTCTTCACGAAAATGGCGTCGCCGTACAGGTCCTTCTTGTAGGCCAGCTCACCAGTGTTGCACAGCTTCACTGTCACCTCGGCCGACGACTGGCCGTTCCGAATCAGCGCTGAGGAGCAGGACCGGTCACCGACTGTGACACGGGCCGGTCACCGACTGTGACACCGACCGGTCACCTATTGTGGCACTGGCTGGTCCCGACTGTGGCACCGGCCGGTCCCGACTGTGGCACAGACCGGCCACCGAATGTGACACAGGCCGGTCACCGACTGTGACACGGGCCGGTCACCAACTGTGGCACCAGCCGGTCACCGACTGACCGATCTCACGGTCCAAGTTTGTGGCGTTTTTTCTCCACAATTTTAGATCCCGGAAAATTGTTCCCAACATACACCTCATTAAGCCGTTTTCACCAGTTAGAAATACTTCACTGTTTGAGACCACTGCCAGTGGACGGGCAACGCCAGAATGCACTTATTCATGACCGTTGAGCACATCAAAGTGGTGTTTTTCGTTGTTGTTTTAAAATACAAAGTTTGAGTCCAGGTTGATTAAGGTTCAGGTAGGTGTACATGATGGTTACCCTATTTTTATTATAAATTTACTTTTTGGCATTATCCGACCCTTCTGTGTGCTGGGTTTGATTATGACACTTGTTGAAAAAACTCATAAAATTTTGAGACCACTGGAAGGTCAAGAATCATTGAAAAGCAGTTTCTTTGTGTGTCAACATCTCCACAAACAAATCGCAGAAAAATCACGATTCAAAGGGTTGCATGCGGTCCCTCGACACTCATCCATGTGCTGATTTAACAACGTTTAACCAGTGCTAGGGATGTCACATCGACTCCCCGCTCCTACCCCCGCCCCTCCCACTCAACTCTTCTATCAGGGGAGAGCTAACTGAAGCTAGCAGAAATGTCCAGTCGAGAGCGCCACTGCCAGCCGACCCAACCTTGTTTTGTGCTGCACCAGTGGCCAGCTCCCGGAAGCCCCAGCTGAGAAGAATAGGCTGGCCAGCCCAATACCCCACCCCGGATGGAGGAATCCGTCTCACCAGGGAGGGAGGAGCCCCGGTCGGTTCCTTTGGCCCGGCTGCCCAAGCCCACCATGATGGCGGTCAGCACGGCACTCTTGCCGCTGCCATTCTCGCCCGTGATGAAGTTGACACTCTCGTTGAGCTTGATCTCGAGGTGCTCGTGGCACATGAAGTTCTTCAGCGTCACCTGCAGGATCTTTCCAGGTCGCTACGAGCGGTGAGTAAAGCGTTAACCTCGACGCATCACTCGCCGGGGCCCACATCTGCACTGGCCATGCGCCGCTGTCGTACGTGTTAACTCGGCCAGCTGCGTAACGCGTAACGCACAGCATATCACACATGTATCACACACGCACAAATGTACACAATTTCGGCCGGCAGTCGACGACTGTCAAGGGACGGACGCTCGCTATTGCTCTCAGTGGCTTATGATTGTCAACAGTTTCATTATAAGGTTGAATGCTGCTTTCCGCTTGCACCACGCCATTCTGCGGCAACTGTAGCGGAGAAAACAGAACTTAAGCCCACGTCTGGAGCGCATTTCAATGGCGGGCGCGTCATGACCGCCAAGCTCCGACGTCGGCCGGCGCCAGCTGGCGACGCCGCCAAGGTACGCACCTGAGTGGGCACCACGATGGTCGCGTCCGACGTGTACCGCTGGCGCTTGGCCTGCGGGCCACTGTCAGCGCATGAGGAGCGGCGCACCACCGCCGCCCGCCGCTGGGGCTCCGCCATGTCGCAGGTCTGCGGCGTCTGATCACCGCCTTCACAACACGGCCTGTCCACGCCCAAATCACATGGCTCTCAGTACAGACTCCTTACAGTGATGAACAATCTGGTCTGAGAATGCTGATGAAGAATTCATGGCACGAATGTAGCTATTTTTATTTATAGATATTTGCTGTGCACATGGCTGGGAACACAGCTCAAAGATTGGCGCCGAACATCCTGCACTTATTTGTCGCAATGTAACCTACAGTATAACAACACCCTAACCCTAACCATGTAACCCATGTATATAACAACACCCTAACTAACCTAACTATCTTGGCACCCCCACTACCTATCCTTAACACCGTCACTATCCTGGAATGATAAGCAGATGCTTTTGGTTATCAGGTTCTAGCTTTTAAGTTGTAGGCAATGATCTTCAATGAACAGGAGCAGGTTTGCTGTTACTTTTCCACTTTGTATATATTTGGCATTTTGACTTTTGTATATTGTGAATCCTCACCACTTCCTTTCCACACATTTCATATCCAAATCTCAAGATTGGTGAAAGGATTGAGCTACCAAGTGTGGTGGAGGGGGGTTAAGATACCCATTGATCTTAAAGATATTGATGATATATATATATATATACATATATATATATATATATATATATATATATATATATATATATATATATATATATATTATTGCATATGACAATCAATGCTTTGCTCATAAATTCTGTTCAAAATTGGTGTTAAATAATCAAATTGTTTTATCTTCCAGTTCCAGTATAAATTACACATTTTCTGTAATGAGGCACCAAGTGTTTCACCACACCTCTGTATTTCAGTCTTGCATCACAGCAGCCTCATCAAGAAACACTGTGGCAGCATGCACACAGGACATTCTGTTCTTTGTTTTCCCTGGCCATGCACTGTATTAGGATGTAGTGTTCTTGGAGTACAGTTTGTCAAGTGCTGCCTTAGAGGGCATGCAGGGTTGAGGGCAGGTGGATTATGTATGTCGATGAGCAGGGTTGGCCTTTATGGTGCATTGGAAGGATGCTTTGTGTGAGGTGACATTAAGCTTCTGGCATTGCTTGGGTGCAGCATCTCTCTTGTAGCTGTGGGTAGTATATCATGGGATGCTTTGATTGCTGTAGACAGGGTCCTTTCATCCTTTTCTTACCTATGATTTTGAGGAAAAAATTACAAGGTACATTTGTGAAGAATTCAGAAATTGAGAGCCCTAGGAGCTAAAGAGCCCAGAAACAAGCAAAAAAAAAAAACAACAATCAAATGTTGAAATCCACACCACACAAATGACATCCCAGCAGTATGGCAGGGGACATTCTGGGTTACTGTTCTGCCATACATAGTATCACTAAAGCTAGGCAAGTATGAGTTAACTTCTTCATTGACTCCATAATAGGCTTTCCTCCCATGCCAAGCTCAATCATAAACTGAAAAGGTAAACATTAAGGGATTTGCCTTGCTATACACAAATACTTAAATAACAGTTAAGTTAAAGCCAAAGGGGCAGGTTAAGTTAAAGACAAATGGATAGGTTCAAACTGCAGAACTTTTTTCCTGAAATATCAGTCACCAGCCGAACCACTGGCACCCCAGCCAACTAGACCAAAGGGCTCCAGTCTGAAAGGGACTGCTGAGCAACACTAGAATGCTGACCAGCCATCAACCTGCAAGTACGAAGTTCATTGCAACCCACATTGGTCCTTTTTCCCTTAATTCTGGCCAAGGCCCTGTAATGATTCTGGCCCAAATATAAATTGAGCATAAAACATTGTTAGTGGTACATAATGGAAAACAATATCCTGCTAACATAAGTGACATTGCTTAGAAAGGTGTTGGCCAAAGCACCTGGACTATGGAAATTGTATTGTGTAAATTCTGTTGAAATTCTGCTGTAGATGTTAAGCACTATAATGCTAGTTGACAACGACAAATGAGAAGGAAAATTATATAATCCAAAATGGCCCAGCACCGGTCAGGGTGCACTTTCCTACCTAACCGCGGACGGCCAAGTGCAGAGCCGAGCAGCAGACCACAGCCGAGCCAGCTGATCAACCCGCGCCCCGGTCCGAGCTCGATACCGAGCCCCGGCCAATCCACGCAGTACAATGCCACGACAATTTCAAGGTCAGGCGCCACCGCTGGTCATACCAACGCTCGCTCTCCGTGGCCTTGGGCCTGTCCCTGGCCAAGAAAGAGCCCATGCAAAACGGACATGAGCCTAAGCATGGATGGGAGCGAGCTTAGGTGGCGGCCGGAACCTGGAGCAGGAGCTTGTCGGACAAAACCGGGGGGAGCGCCACATTCAGGGAGGAGACCACGATTTCGGGAGAGAGAAGCTCTGGGACTTGAGGGGCTCGGAGTGAACGGGAGCACTCTGCACTCGGCGACTGCAGCCACCAACATGTGAGCGGAGGAGCTGCGAAGAAGGGCTGAGGCAATGCAGTCTGCTCTCCGTTTCCACCCCTCTTCGGCCATGTTTCCTGCCCCCCCCCCCCCCCCCCACCGTTTGCTACATTGACCAGACGCCAACTGGGTGCGGAAACCCTGCCAGGTAATTGCCAGTTAAATGGGGACTAACCAGACAAGGATGGCATATGACGTGCCCATCCGATAATCGCGTGCGAAGAGGATGAGGGTCGAGGTCAGACGCCGGGCAGGTCACCTCACATGTGAGATTGTGTCATTCGGACTATGGCGGAGAGGAGCTGCACTGCGTGCATGTAAATAAGGTCAGACGCCGGCCAGGTCACTTTACATGTGAGAATATGTCATTCAGACTATCGCGGAGAGGAGCTGCACTGCGTGCATGTAAATAAGCGCCGTGTGCTTAGATGTGTGAATGTGTGTTATATTTTACTAGATTAGGCTCACGGACCAGTCTTGATTTTAGGAAGGAAGCCAGGAATGGACGCGGTGTAACCGGACGGAAATCAAGTCATGTATCCACATTTTGACGACATGCATCAGTGAAACTCGTAGTCTGTAAGGGTCTTCACGTAAAATTATGTTCGAAAGGACGGACTTGCTAGTTGGAATGCTGCACTTTAATTGCAGCGCGCACTGCCGTAAACGCAACATTTCGGTTCAGAAACAATTGCCTACTGGCCCAAGTGTTTAAAAGAAATGGGGATCAGGAATGACGCAATTATTTCGTTCGACACGTAGTTACTTATTGCAATGTGTACAGCTCTTCATCTAAACCTGGTGAAAGAAATGACGCACATTGCACGCTATTCCGAAATCCTTGGTCAGTAAGTTTGGGAATCGCGCGAATCTTTACGTGTTATAGCACGAATCGGCTTTGGGTGGAAATAAACGTGCGTTGCAAACGCATTTCCTACCACCTGTCATTAATTTGAGAGCTAGCATGGCCTTTTACGGAACTGCACTCAGAAAGGACTCACTCTGTGATTCGACACATAGCTGTTAGATAGCATAGCTGTCGCGACGCGCATAGTTCTTAATGTAATTTCGGAACAACCAACGGGCATTGAGGCTCACTCTATGTCATGACTTTACATAATGTATCGCACCGAGGCCAGAAACCCTACTCGGAAGCCCCGTGAGACACACTAAGCAGGACAGGGTCATCGTTCATTTATTTGCGTTCAGACTCAGAAAGTCGTCGATAAATCATTTGGAACACGGCCGTTGTATCATTCCGCAGGATTTTTAGTAACTGAATTGATTTCATGGACGGCTGGTCTGTAAGCAAACAGATCCAGTGCACATTTCAAGCATCCAGGTTTAATTGCTTTGAGCCACACTTCACTAAGAAATAGCTACTGCCTTGCCTACGCTGTGGGCAAGTTTCTTATTTGCCTGGATTTGCATTCCCTTATTTTAGTAACTTAACCTACGGAGCATGTGATAGGATGGCAAACGCTGAATGAATGCAAAGCCATGAATTTTTACGGGTTCCTTGCCGTGTTGCTGATTCAGTGTGGCCTCCTGAGTTCATCGTTCGGGTTTGTTTGTAGTTTAAATGTCAGTCAGAGCCAAAGAGCGGCTCCCGGAAGCTCTTATTCGTGAATTCTGCTGTTACCCAGGTTCTTGATTTGCTTTCTGCGGCAGGACATCCTGAACAACGGGGGCTATATTGAATTTTTTTTAGATAATGGATGACGGTTAAATTACACGTGACATTTAGCATTCAATATTCATTGTTTACGGCTTGCAGGTAAGGCGTAATGAAATAGGGAAAATTTCGGCAATCATTCACTTGAATGGGGTTTTTCTAAGGCAATGATATATGCCGTACAAATAAACATAATTTTCCGATTTTTCGGCTTTTGAAAGCGTGACAGACCAGACCTTCTCCGCATCTTGAAATGCTATGCATACAACCGTTTGCTTCGTGCACCTGTGATAAAAATGATGGGGACAATTGTTGTTAAACAGCGATTACGTGAGCGCTGTGGAGGAAGCGACGACCCCGCAAAAATCAATTGTGTGGCCGCCGCTTGTAGGCGACGTCGCGTCAGTGAGATGGCGACAACATAAACGGCGCTGTTCGTGGCGCGAGATGGTGGCGAGAGAAGGCGCTCTTGATTGAGTTCCTGGTGCCGCGGGACGTTTGAAGGTGAGCGGTTCTTGTGGCGCCGCTCAGAATGTGACCAGGCCACGATATGCCAGGAACGCGTCCGCTAAGAGTGAGTAACTGTATTGACTTATAATGTTACGTTATTGTTGTGTCAGGTCATTATATGTATTGCTCATCATACCAGGTTGTATGTATTTTCGAGTTATTATTATTGCTTCACCTTCATTTCAGGTTTTACGTACAATAAAGCAGCAACACCAAAATGGCGGCTTCGAAGCGTTCAGAATGAGCCGCAGGCTCATCTGTAATGGCTGCTACAATTTGGATGCCGCACTCTAAAGCAATGAATGCTAGTCGGTGGTTAAAATGCATTGGAATAGTGCCAAGTGGCTAAAATGCATTGCGATTAATGCCAAATATGATCTAGCTATCAGTCAGGATTTATACATCGCTTGCATGAAAATAAACAGTTCAGTTGT